GAGAAATTCAAGGATTTGTTAAAGAGTGTTGCAAATGATTGGTGATAGTACTTGAGACACTTTTCTTTGTATATAAAGGGTTGGTAAGGTATTTTAAATCTCCTGCCTTGGTTTTCAGTGCGTTGATAATAAGGGAGACTTCGTATGGGTTTTATTCCGAAGCTAGGAATCAGTGTGTTCGTTAGTTGCCAGTGAGGTAGTCATTTGTGGGGTATCTGAGCTTGGGATATTATTGGTCAAGGTTATTGACCTATAGTGGAGAAGAAATCATTTGAGGTCTGTTCTCTGCTGTTTATCTGTTGAGTGGGATTGGGTTTCATACCTGATTTTTGCTATTTTTTTTCGCACATGACGTGATATCTTTTTTGTTCCCAAGAATTCTGATAGGGTACTTCCAGGTCTTTTTTATATCTACCTCGTAAGATTGGATAATCTGTTCTCAAAAACAATTTTTTTGCCCTTCCTTCTATCCAGCTGGTCGGATTGAAAGAGTAACGTTTTGTTTTGGTCCTCTGGTTATGTAGACCCATTCTGTACTGTTTTTCATATCGGTGTTTAGTAATTAAGTCAGACAATATCATAACTGTGGTGTTGTATCTCAATGAACAAATCTTATGGTATCGAATCCCATTTTATATTTCATTATGCGGCATATTAAACTGCTTAAGCATTTAACCCCATCAAATTCTTAGATACATTGGTAAGAATACATTCTTTCGTAATAAAGACACAGCAAGTAATACATTACAACAGCTGATTTCGAGATATAAGAAAGACGAAGGTAAATGTATCGAATAAGTGAATACTTGTTTCCCTTTGATGCGGTTGTGAGTAGTTTTTTCACGAATTATATCCTGGATAGTGTCGAATGTCGATTGAGGACTTAAATTGCATTCACCCGCAATGGGCAAATTGATGACACCATTTAAGGCGGAAAACATATAAAATATATAATATTAATTCCATTAAATTATGGCTATCGATAAAGTATCTCCGTATACGAATGCCCCAAATTAATTGCATTGAATTCAACATGAGGGTAAACCCGCAGTGGTGTGAATATCTATTCTCGAAGACATTATTTTAAATTCATATATTCTGGCTTCTAATCAAACACAATATGATGGCAGAATAATCTTGGGGGACAAGTCATACCCGATAAGATATTTATATAATGGTTTGATATGAAAGACATATGATGGAGGATATAATTTTAATCCTTTTATATTTTCAACATGAAGATTTGAATAATTTGGGGGTTTAAACAATTAATCAGAAATGATTCTTAATATTGACTGTAATTTCCCCTACACTTGCGAGTAGGTTATATTACGCTACCTTGAAATCTCTGGGTTTGGAGACTGATCATCTGATTACATATAAGAGTTTTCTCCAAGGCAGAACTATATTAGGTGTTGACCTGAGAATTTAAAACAGGTCAAGAATGCTATATCTGTCGAGAAGAATGGTAATTTAGAATAGTTTATGACATTTGGAAAACCGAAAGATGAAAATAGAATTTTTTTGATGTTTGGTGAAACTAATGCGATTTTAAAAAATAAATGAAAATAGAACAGTGATAGTGCATACGCGAGTATAGACCATGAATTGTAAAGAGATAAATATTGCCTTGAAACATCATACGGGAAGATATGCCTCGTATTTGGGATGTTTTGCCGCAAATAATATAAATGAAGTTATTATGAGGATAAAAGATAAGCCGGAAATTTTTTCATCATTAATATAATGAACGACCAAGATGAAAATATGGTCATTGGATTATATATAGTGAAACAAACACTTTATTATAATTTTAGATAGTTTCGGGATGGATTTAAAACATTATACAAATATATATAGAAAAATTTTTTAAAAAAAGAAATTTCATGTACCGTATTAATCAGAGGATTCAACATGAAAAATCATTGTTGTGCGTCTTATATGCTATATATTTTGTGTATAAGTTAACAAATTATAGTGTAAAGAAAATTATACCATATTTGTTTAAAGATTTGGGTAGAAATAAATTAAAGAATGACCAATTTATAATGAAATATGCATATGAGCATTTCAATATACCTTCATGTTCAAGTGTATTTGCTAATAATTCAACGTGGAATTATGAAAATCTGTGTAAAATATTGGAATTATAATACGGTGGGTAGAGTCGTTTAGAGGCGGGCAAAAGGTCACAACACTGGTATAAATGACTGTGCTGGGGCCACTGTTTGGATCTACTGTCATTCAAGTAGGGTCAAGGATGAATCCAATTCAGTACTCCGTTGGAGGTGTCTGCGAGGAGGAGAGAAGACTGCATCCCTGTGTATGTTGGAATAATCCACCTGTGGTAAATGGTAAGTGAATATTGAAAAAATCTTTTTTACACATAAATGATTTTAGAAGTGAATGTATTAACCAAATAAAACTTTTTAATGCATTTAAAGATATGCCATTTCTTCTTCTAATCGAGAAATTTTTTTCTTTGCCAAATGCGAATTGCGATAAATGCGTAGGAGCGAGATGGAATATTTTATGACAAAATTCCCCCAAACCCACTTCATGTATGGAGGGATTCCCCCATAAAATTTTCCACCAGCTTTCCCCCCCCGAAGTTTATTTTTATAACAGATGAGGAAGAAGACAAGACCCTGAAAAAATGCACAGAAATTCTACAAGAGAAGAAAAATTACTCTACGTTGATTTTAGTCAATGAATTGTAGCTTTTTTTCAATGAAATTGTATTTGTTTGTATTACCAAAATGTAATGGCTGTATAATAAATAATGAAAAAAATATTGTGTATTAGTGTTATCCTGAAATGTGTCCTGATGATGAAAATGTTTTCCCTATGTTGTAGGTACAATGTCCCCTTATTAACTTTAATGAACTAAAAGGATCGACAAGTTTCAACCTGTGTGCGCGTGACGTCCTACTATGCCCCCTTATTAACTTTAATGAACTAAAGGGTCGACAAGATTCAGCTTGTATGTGTGACGTCACTGACCGCCGAGTAAACACCCTTCTTAGGTCATTTGACTTGTTTAGACCTGTAGTAAGCATGCTTACCCCCAGAGGGGGAACCAAAAACTTGTTTCCGAGGAATTGGAAAAATTTCGAAAACCCCATAGGGGGAATCCAAAAACTTGATCCGAGGAATTGGAGAATTTCGAAAACCCCCATAGGGGGGGGGAATCCAAAAACTTGGTTAATATTGAGAAATTTTTGGGGGTTGGGGGGTGGGAAGGAGGGACAATCCAAAAAACCTTGATCCAAGGAGATGGAGAATTTCGGAAACCCCATAGGGGGGATCCAAAAAACTTGATCCGAGGAGATGGAGACTTTGATTTCGAGAAATTTTGGGATGGGGGTGAAAGTGAGAGGGGGATCCAAGGAGATGGAGAATTTCGAAAACCCCCATAGGGGGGACCCAAAAAAAAAAAAAAACCTTGATCCGAGGAGATGGAGGCACAAGAAATGAAATTAAAAAAAAATTCGAAAAAAATCGGAAAAAAATTCGAGGCGCGGGGGCGATCCGGATGACGCTGCAGAAGGCGCAGCAGAAGGCGCGGGCGGGGGTCGCGAAGGGCGCGGGCGGCGCGCGCGGGGTCGCGAAGGGCGCGGGCGGGCGCGCGGGCGGCGCGACGGAGGGGGTCGCGAAGGGGGGTCGTGGGCGGGGGGTTTTTGGTTGGGGGGGGGTCAAGGGTGGGGTTTAGTCTCGAGGGCGAGGTCAAGGTCAAAACCGGAAGTAACACCTAGGTTTTGAAAAGGGAGACTCCAGCTGCTGGTCCTAGACCGGAAGGGTGCGCTCTGTAGAAGGGCCCTTTCCGGAAGGATGCGCTCTGTAAAGGCCTTTTCCGGAAGGGTTGCGCTCTGTAGAAAAGTTGATACTGCCGCCTCAAAACTTTAGTCTCTTTACTATTACCCTTTGTGCTCTATTTGTTAGGACACTATAGAGCCATCTATCAACTTTTCCCGTTATTCCTTCATCACACAATTTTGTGCCTATTCACCATGGTCACACCTGTCCCAAAAGGGTTTGCGAAATCTGTGTATACTACATGTGCCCTTTTTTCTTCTAGAGCATCCACGACCCTGTCATAGTGGTCCAGTAGTTGGGGGCAGGCAAGAGCGACCCGCTCTAAACCCATGTTGCCCTGGGGTTGTGTAGCTGAAGGGGATCTAGAGAAGTTGCGATCTTGCTTCTTAGAACCCTTTAGGAGGGGGCTATGTCTGTTTGATTTTAGTAGCGGTGCGATGACTCCTGTGTCAATGTCACTCTCCATAGAATGTTAAAAGTACATGATACATAATATACACTGTACATAAAAGGGCCCAAAATCTGGAACTCTACCAGAAATCTCCAGCTGCACTGGCTCGGCTAGCATTTTAAAAATAAGTTAGGAAACACTATATTCTTAACCTATCCCAGCCCATCATAAATACATACGTAAAACATATACGTACATTTGCTCAATATCATGAACATAGGTAAAACATTGTAATTAATATATAGTTACTCTCAATATCTGTAATCCTCTCAAATGTTAATTAAAACTGTAATTCTCCTCTACCAAACTTATTAAAGACATTTAGCATGATCTAATAGAATATTCAAATTTCATATATTAATTAACTCACCTAATGACCATATGTACAATTAGTGAACTTTTATTACCTTATTATTCTTTAGTGTTAAGTTTGCCCCACATTACTCTGCAAATAAAAGGCTTTTGGCATATACACACCGTTGATATACTCCTTTGTACAAACATGTACCATGCTAAAATTAAATTATTATTATTGTTAATATGTATTACAAGGTGTATATAAATCTTGCAGAAGTTAAAACACAAACCCTCTATGTTTCATTATTTACTTCTATTTTTTTTTCAGGCAGGGATGTCATTGGAGTGTGCGAAACGTGCCGCGGGTGCTGGTAGCCACCTGGATCATTGTGTCTCTGGTGATACTTACCTCGTATGTAGCCATGCTTATTGCCTCCTTCACTCTGCCCAAGCTGACCCCGACTCTTAACTCCTTGGAGGATCTTGTACAGTCAGACCTTGCCTGGGGCATCCAGGTACACTCAGACTTTGCCTGGGGCATCCAGGTACACTCAGACCTTGCCTGGGGCATCCAGGTACACTCAGACCTTGCCTGGGGCATCCAGGTAGGAATAAAATGTCATTGTAGTGCCTTGTGTATTTACATTATATTTAGAGGTCATCGCAAAGCTCTATGTGGCTCATTATGTATGGTCAATAAATGAAAATAAATATTTTCGGAACATTGTACATGAACACATTTGAAACTCCCAGAGTATGCACAACATACATTGGACAAGTAATATAAATAATATTA